CTAGATTGGTCACGTGCATATTTCAAATATTTTCTCTTTGTTATGAAATAAATTAATTTTGTAAAGACAATAATGACATGAAGCAACATTGTATACAGCACTGGTTAAAAAAAAAAAAGAGAAAAAAGTAATTCCTTCAGAGTAAATAAGTGAATAGCAGATACCAGTCTATTTGAATGTTACTCAAAGTCTGATGATATACTATCCTATCTACTGTTACATGGCAATTAAACTCATTATTTCAACCTATAGTACCTCTGTGATATGATTTCATGTAATTTTTAAGAGCTATGGAACTTGCCAATCTCATCTTTTATATTTATGTATGTGTGTGACATACTGCATTAGCTATTTGGCTTATAAACTCTTCCACATATAATTTATTTTCATGCCAGAGAAGCATGGAAATACATTTCCCCTTCTGGCTGGCTGTAAAATAGGTTTTTTTCCTTTACATTCTTAATGACCAAAAGAATGTTCTATCCTCATTCTTGCTTTTTAGAAGATTCTATTCTTGCTCAGAACCAGGATACAATTGGTAATTACAATTAAAGATGAAAAGCTGAATGCTATCCCATTACACCTGCATCATCTGTGTTTTTAATGAAAACAAATAGACCTATAGAGTAGAATTTGGCTTCAGAAGTACCCTATTACTGACAACAGCCACCAGGGAGGTGAGGCTGCAACCCGACACATGAATCCCAGCCAGAGTTAGTGCTGGTACCAAAGAAACATGAAAGCAAGCAAACCAGCACCAACTACATTGGCACATACTGAAGGAGAACGTTTGTCCTAGAGCCCTGTGAGACAAAGTATTTGTCACCCAAGAGGTCATTTATTCCTTGGTGATTGACGTAACACACCTATGACGAGTGCCTATTTGCTGGCTGGACCACATAACTCATAAATGAGGAGACAGTGAGGAGGAATGGCTTTGGCTGCACCATCTGCTGAAAATTCAGTTTGACCACCCACGCCCACCTGCAGATGACTTCACTATATTGTTCTGGGAGCTGGTTCTCAATGGATGCAAATAATACCAAAGTTATTTTACTTACGTACTTGAGTATTACCACCTTCCAATACTTGCAGAGCTTGGCTTATGAAAATATTTTTTTCCCCCCTCACACTTTAAAATACGAAACTGAGCAGCACACACTCCTCAAGATACCTTTCCTTTCTGATCCCCTGCAAGTCACCCTCTTTGAGATCTCCCTCTCAACGTGACGCAATAAACGTTTTGTCCTTGAAGTAGGAGTTAAGAGATTGACTCTTAAAGTCCCCCTGAAATGTGATTTTATAAAAGTATGTAACCAAAAATTTGCCCTTTTCAGTTGGTTTAGCCCATCATCCAGAGCGCCTGCCTGGGTCAGCAATGGGGTGACCAAAAGGACTGATGTGAACTTAGCAAAAGTCTCAATGGTCCTGGAGCTGGGTGGTATGGAGAGTTGCTTGCTCGCATTAGGGAGATGGAGCGATCACCTCCCCACCCCCAAGTGCTGTGGCGTGGGAAAGCACTGAGCACACATTCCTCAGTAGCACTCAGCACAGGAAGGCTCCCGACTTCTCACTCAAACCTTTCACTAGCACTCAGCAAGGTAAATAAACCATACAGTCAGGAAGCTTCAGACTGTTCCTCTCATGAGCAAGGAGAAGAAGAGTGGAAGTATTTGTTTACAACAGGAAGACACATTTACTTCTGCACCCTTTGCCTTGGAGCACGCACCTGCCACTTGCAGAAATTGTTTTTCTCTGTTTTCTTTTGCATTAAAGGCTTGGTGAGCTGGCTGAAATGATCTTCCTGGGATGAAAATCTAAAAAGAAGTGATTTTACCTAATACCGTAACATCCCCATAGGGAACATTATCTGAAAGCACTTTGGGCACATTCATACTCATACATACATGCATGGAAGTTCTTCCCAGCCTGTTTTGGTACAACACATGGTTTTGTGACTATCGTTTGCAAGTGCAACGTTTTCAAGTGCTGACGCACAATATTCGCTTGTCTAAACCTCTTGACTGAATAGAGGGGCCATCTTAAAAACTTCAGTCCCAAGTGAGTCAAGAGTTTGCCTTCTCAAACAGCTCAGATTCTTCTAAGCTAACACAAAGCACATGTGGAAGCTGTGTTCTGGAAAAACAAAAACCAACAAGAAACCTAGACAGGAATACAGCTATGTTCCAAGGCAGCAAAAGAAAACTCCAGTACTTTATCAATAGTGGTGTTACAGCCATCAGTATCTAATCATTTAGCAGTTAGTCAGGAGGCAGCATGGCTGCTATTGCTCCAAGAGAGCACAGACCCAGCACTTCAGCATATTGACAAAGCTGTGGCACTCTGGCAATAACACAATCTCAAGATAAGAGAGCAAAATAGGAGCCAAAAACTGAACTCCCATTAGGAGTAGGACAGATGAAGCTTGTAGGAGTCAAGGTGACAAAAACCACATAGGCTACGTGTTTTGGTTTGGTTTTTTTGTGCTACATTCAACCGAGGTGTCCCCAGCAAATCCCATGAGGGATTCAAGCCACAAAAAACACCTTAGCGTTAGACATATGTGCTCTAAGAAAACTAGCACATGAATTCTCAGCAGAGGGTCACCTCTCAGTCTTCAGCTTTCTTAAATAATTTCTACAATAAAATGGGTTTTAACTTGCTTCCTAGTGTTCATAACTGTTTAGGGTTTTATTTGCTCTCAGACTTAAAATCAAAGTGGATCTGTCTGTCCACGCTTCACATTCAGAGTTGAGAAGAACTGAGAGAATTGACAGTTTTGCAAGGGGGAGAGCCAAGTGTTACGACACAAAAGGGCATTTTTCCCAGAGGTTTTAAAAAAGACCCCAAACAATATCAAAAAGTAAAGTGAGAGACTTGATTTCTCTCCCCTTCCATGGCTTCTACAAGAACCTAGGAAAGCTATGTAATTCCTCTTCGGTTTACTAACCCTTGGAAAATCTCTGAGGGAAGGACAAAGCTAAGGCAGAGCTTTATCCTCATGTGCATTCGCTTTCCCTCCAGTGAAGTCACTCCCCTTGGAGTGACTTTTTTTCCTCCAGTGAAACAGCTTCTCAGAGAGCCTTTGTGCATGTGGTACAGACGGACTAGAACTGCTGCCGGGACAGCTGCTGCAGTTGTACCCAAGCTGCTTTTGAACTAGTGAGTCTGGATACGTACAGTCACATCAGGAAAG